TAGTGATGGACCAGCTGGGTGAAGCCTGTGTGTATTTCAATGTAGGACGTCCTGGGAGCTGCCTGCTCTGAATCAACCCTGACCAAACAACAACACACACCCCCAATCTGATCAGATATCTTTTGACCCATTATTGATGCCACTGCTGTAACATCCAAACCTCATATTTTTTTTTTAGAAAACAAACAACACCTTTTAGATTTAGACTCAAACCTCCATTTGACGAAAGTGGTCAAGATTTAAACACCACATTTAAGCACAACAGAATTGAGATAAATCAGTTTGCAACATCTTAAGTAGCTGCACAGTCCAAGAACACCAGAACAACATTAACTATAATCAGCAGAATTAAACTACAGTCAGCAGGAGAGATGCTACTTCATGTTCTGGTCTACAGGGTTATTCATATCTGCCCACACATGTGCCCACAGTGTTTACTGTACTCTCATTATATCCTTAAACAAATGTAACAACAACAAACTGAAAAGCATTTGTTTTACAACAGTTCAATGCATTTGGGTGTAATAACTTTCTTTTAAACTGCCTTGTTTACATCTGATTCAGTTATTATTTCATATATTGCTGAGAATACCATAGAAGGGCACAGAAAGAGCGACAGGAGCCAGAAAAGAATATTACGTTTTTACGTTTAAAAAAGTGGTCATCACAGACTAACCTTGCAAGACATCTGGACTTGTGAGAAAGACACTGAAGGCTTTTCTCAGTGGAAAAGATGTTTTCGCTCTTTTCCTGACTGTCTTGACTATGTTGTATAACATTGATCTGATTGGTTGAAGTTCGCTCATGATAGACAGATTGAAAGTTGTTGAAAGTGCCGGCCGTTTTCCAAAACCATTTTCAATTATGACTTCCCAGATGGTTCTTTGTAACAAACCATCTGGCACAGTCAGCAATGCAGCAATTGGATTCTGGTCTGAATTTTTTTGTTCTTGTATTATTGTGAAATAAAAAAGAAGCACATGATCTTTGATCATATTGAAAAGAAAAGAAAAAACTGCAGAAAATTAACAGCTTTTCTGAGTTTGTAGTACATTTTTTTCCTTTATTTTGTCTAATAATTGCACACTGATAGCTAATCATTTGGACTGTGTGTTGAGTAACTGCAGCTAGCAGCTCTTCTGTAGGTTTATATATATAGTTTGATTGTTTGATATCAATACAACCACTTCTCTCGTTCCATCAGACACATATTTTTTGTTGACAATTTTGCTTTCGACTGCAGAAGTTTGCAGTTATCTGTCTGACACATCCTCAGTAACACACACACACACACA